CTTCCTCTCATTCTTCTACTCCTCTCCTATCTCAGTACATCTCATTCTTCTGTTCTTTTCCTGTTTCTCTCTCAGCAGCAAGCATACAAAGGCAAGGGTCAATACAGGGGGAAGTAACACCTTAAAACTCTAAAGAACCTGTGTGTACACACTTTCTCTAGTATGTGCGTGCTCATGGACGTAACAGGCTTATAAAATTAATAACTGGCCAGGGAACATAGACAATTGGTTGCACAACAGAAGAGAGAATGGTCTCTGGTGGTGAGAGTCAAATATCCTGAAATGTATACAAATGGATAAGAGCTAACGGCACACAAACACACTTCTTTACACATGTGCCCACACACACACCACATTCATGAGAATGTTGTGCAGAAACACAACCAGAAGTAAAGTTTAGTGTGGCTTTCCGGTCTCATTGTGGGCAACTGGCAACCATATATATGAGACTGAATATATACATGAGACTGTAAAAAAGAGTGCAGGAAGAGAAAAAAAACGAAAAACAAAACATGAGATTGAGAAGATGTAAACGCAAGACAATTGATTATAATGTGAACTAGGATCTTGTTATAGTCAGTTATTTTTTATACTTGTACAAAATTATACAAAGCTGTATTTAAAGGGTTAGTTCACCCAAAAATGAAAATTAAGTCATTAATTACTCACCCCCATGCTGTACCAACCCCGTAAGACCTTCGTTCGTCTTCGGAACACAAATGAAGATATTTTTGATTAAATTTGAGAGCTGTATAACTACCACATTGGCTCCTAAGGGACTGCCTCTTGACGGCCCAAAAAGTCAATGAAGAAAATGTTTAAATATCCCAAGTGACTACCGTGGCTCAACTATATGTTTATCAAGCGACGCGAATACTTTTTGTGCGAAAAAACAAACAAAAAATAACGAGTTTATTCGACTATTTCTTTTCTTCCTTGTAGGCCAGAACGAGACTTCCTTATAGATTTCCACGACGCATGCGCGAGAATTGCGATCTAATCTGGTGTAAGCAGATCGCAAATCTCGCGCATGCGTCGTGGAAATCTAAGGAATTCTCGTTCTGGCCTACAAGGAAGAAAAGAAATAGTCGAATAAACTCGTTATTTTTGTTTGTTTTTTCGCACAAAAAGTATTCGCGTCGCTTGATAAACATATAGTTGAGCCACGGTAGTCACTTGGGATATTTAAACATTTTCTTCATTGACTTTTTGGGCCGTCAAGAGGCAGTCCCTTAGGAGCCAATGTGGTTGTTCTGAAGACGAACGAAGGTCTTACGGGGTTGGTACAGCATGGGGGTGAGTAATGAATGACTTAATTTTCATTTTTGGGTGAACTAACCCTTTAAAGGGTTAGTTCACACAAAAATGAAAATTCTGTGGGTAATTACTGACACAGCTCCACACGATAGAGGCTCCGATAATAACAACATGCACATAAGCAGCGGTAGAAAGTGGGAGGAAGGCGCCGCAAGTGAGTTTCTTTATGACAATGAAACATACGCCGCACAGTTGTAGGGGACGCTGATGAGAACACATGCCACAACAAAAGTGGAAATCAGCGAAGAAGTGACTAGAGTTACCAAGTGCCCCTTTAAAGGGATAGTTCACTTTGAAATTCATTTTTGATATGTTTTAGCTTACCTCAAGGGCACCCAAGATGTAGGTGTCTTTGTTTCCACAGCATTTTCAATTTTGACATTTTTTAGTCAAACCGTTGATGTCCGTCGGTCATACACTGGAGGTTAAGGGGGTCCTCCCTCGGTCAAAATTAAACATGATTTAATGACTCGTGAATGTAAGTACACACTGATGGCCTAAGACACGAAACGAGCGGTTTGTGTGAGAAAACAAACAGTATTTATATCGTTTTTACCTCTTGTTAACAGCCGTCGAACTGATCTGAATCAAGATGTCCAACTGAACCGAACTGAACCGTATCGAGACGTTACGCCGAAAGTGATCTCTCTCGAGTCTACGTCACGCGTTGTTTACACAGAGATTTCAGAAGTTTTACCTTTCACTAAACCTATTTAGATATATCGAAATTGTCTTCCATTGCGTTTTCCTGTATATCTAAATATGTTTAGTGAAAGGTAAAACTTCAGAAATCTCTGTGTAAAGTTAAACAATGCGTGACGTAGACACGCAAGAGATCACTTCCGGCGTAACGTCTGGAGACGGTTCAGTTCGGTTCAGTTGGACATCTGATTCAGATCAGTTCAACGGCTGTTAACAAGAGGTAAAAACTATATAAATACTGTTTGTTTTCTCACACAAACCGCTCGTTTCGTGTCTTAGGCCATCAATGTGTACTTACATTCACAAGTCATTAAATCATGTTTAATTTTGACTTCTCTGTGCATGCTCTTTGAGGTGGACCTCCTAAACCTGCATTATATAACTGACAGACAACACCGGTTTGACTGAAAAATGTCAAAATTGAAAATGCTGTGGAAACAAAGACACCTACATCTTGGATGCCCTTGAGGTAAACTAAAACATAACAAAAATTAATTTCAAAGTGAAATATCCCTTTAACATGGTATTGGTAATGAGATTAACATAATAACGAACTGAAAAACCTACCAGTTTGTGGACTAGCCTTTAAATTTATCATTGAGCTGACACTAATCCAAGGTGACTAACAAAACACTATTTAATGAAAAAGCCCATTGGATACTAGGACTTACTTGCTAAAGCACACAGTGGTAATTATAGCTCAGATCAATTCTTGCCATATTCAAACACACAACTGTTTGGTTGCTTCTTGCCCACATTTTTAACTAATAGGTTGCAGTCAGGGGCACAATGTAATTATTTAATTATGCAAAAGTTAATATACAACATCAAAGCTGCAAAAATGTGGAAAGGAGGTGTTAGTGCTTAGGCTATCTCTTCATTTATTTCACACTGGGCCAACTGTCACACATTCAAACAGTGGCTTGTGGGTTTCTCTCAGCTTGAGACCTCTGGGAGTCAGAGGTCCCAGGGGCTGATCTGTAATCCTTCCTTGGTAACAGAGGGTTGATATTGGAGCTTAGAACATATCACATTAATTATAAGCAAAATATGAAATCCTTAACTGCTTGTGCTTTATGTCTTTAAAGCAGCGCATAGGGGGGCCTGGAAATGAAGACACGACACAAACTACATGCCTCACATTCTTTTGATTCATTAAATTCCTGGGCTCAAAACTCACAAGCCAAATGTCCCACACACAGAACATAAATGTAGTTTTATGTGGCCACAGATAGGAGGTTCAGTGTACTCAGACATTCAAACAATGCTAGTAGTTTACAGAGCTGAAAATCTAATGAGCTTGTGGTCTGGGACTAAATGGTGCTTTGACATTTTTTTATTGCAACTGGTTTAAATGAGGATGATCTAGCCTGGACTTCAGGGCATGGTGAGGAAATACTCCCTTCCGACAGATGAGTAATACGCTTCTAAAATACCACAGCAACAAGCCTGATGAGTGTGACTATATTAAGCAATGCTTTAAAAAAAACCTGTGGGCTCTGATTACGACAAAACTGAGCATAGATGTGGAACAAAACAGTAAGTCGCTTGACTTTGTTTTGGTTACATACTAAAGGGACACCGCAATTCCCCCCCAAAAAATGTGGAAAAAACTGGAGCTCTTGGCGCCTTTAAACAAGCAGGTCTAAATTAAACAATCTATCCAATGTCTGAGCCCACTATGTGATGGAGACACTGTTTCATTTAGACATTTTAAAACAACGGTGTATAAAAATGTACAACACAACTCAAGCTGATTTACATTGTATAAATGCAACAATTGACTCTTGAGTTGTATAAACGGTTTCCTCGACGTGTAAGTGATTAGTCAGAGCTTTTGTTGTATAAATCATTACAGAAACTATTTCCTAACTGTTTATACTTAATAAGACATTAAGTCAGCTTGTGTTGTATAACCCGTTTTCTTGAGACATTGTAATTCAGCTTGAGAATTGAGAGACTGTCTTGAGACATTTCCCCCCTGGTTTCACAAAAAAAGCTTAAGCTCGTCCCAGACTAAAACGCATGTTTTGGAAATTTGAACTCAAAGCAAGTTGGACTGACATATCTTAAAAAGTCAGTACCATCTCAAGATGTACATCAGTAATTTTTTCAAAAGCATGTTTATAAAATCTACTTAGATGTCCTAATTAAACTAACAACTAATCCTGGCTTAATCTAAACCTTCTTTGTGAAACCAGACCATCAAGTCATCTTGAGCCTGGTTTCACAGTGCTTAAACTAAGTCAGGATTAGGCCTTGGCTAAATTACGGCATTTAAGTAGCTTTTACAAACGTGTCTTAGAAAAAAAAAACATTACTGGTGTGCATCTTGAGTCAAAACAATGGCACTGACATATTTTGAAATATTTCCATCCAAGGTCCTTTCAGTTAGATAGCTCAAACATGCGTTTTACTCTGGGACTAGACTTAAGCCTTATCTGTAAAAGCAGGGGGAAACTCTTAAGTCAGCTGGGATTTTGTACAGTTTTTTTTTTGTTGTTGTTGTTGTTGTTGTTGTATGAAACAGACTAATAAAATGCTGTAATTCAGCTTGAGTTGTAAAAACTGTGTTCTAGTTGTATAAATTGATACGTTTTCAATCAGCTTTGTGTAAACTATCCTAGACAAACTTATACAACTCAAACAGACATAAAACGTACTAATAAATTGGTTATACAACTAGAAAACGGTTCATACAACCCAAGCTATATATCTCTAGTTGTATACACCGATTTACGGATACTTCAGTTTAAGCAGTACCCTTTAAACGTTGTAAGCTAGCTTGAGTTAAGGGTAACCGTATCCCCTTGTCTCGAGACCTTCTAAGTCAGTTTTACAACAGAGTTGAACAATATTTATAAATTCATCAGTTTCCCAAAACAATGATGGACATTATGGCTGTTGTGCAGCAGCAAACTAAGTAAATAATAACATACAGGCTATGTCTAGGCAGCCTTGGTACAGTTGTTGTCCATTACCTGTTGCGTCCTGTCGGCAGGGTTCTTCATGATCGCGTGCCGAAAACTATTGTCCACATATGACGCCATTCTGTCCGCGTGCATTCACATGTAACAAAAGATCTCTTTCGTTAAACCTCGTACATTTTCCTAACGCTTCCGACTCGTTTTAAGCAGAGCCGTCTTTTTAAAACACCATACGTTCTCTAAAAGACAAAATATCTCGAAGCGGGCCAGTTTCCGAGCCCCGGGCTGGAGTTGTAGCAGCTATTCAAACCAGGGGTAACAGTAAGGTCCTCGCGGCGTATAGGGGGGCAAATATTTACACCTTTAAAAGTTTAAGGCGTTCAATAATCTCTTTCCAAGGACAGCGCAAAGACAACCGGGTAACAGAATTCCGTATTTGCCGAGTAACTTGAAACAACTATACAGCAACTAAACACGTCCCCAAATGTCTGAGCATTGTCTTGTGTCCAGATAGAGGTTCACGGGTATACAGGCGTAAACTGTTGTTTCGGGGTTGCTGTTCATAACTCCGCGTCTGGCAAGTCTCTTCAGTCAGTCGTGTTAAAGGGGAAGCCGATACTAAACGTCCGATAATCCAAGTTGGAGAAGTTTAACAAATTGGCGTGCGTCCATAGCGACTGCGTGACGGACACCGGACAGACTGGCAGGCGGGGTAAAACTGGACCGGTGACAACGTAGTGATTCACAAGAGTTGAAGCAAGACCATAGACAGCAAGACATTAAATGGCCGACCTCTAGCGCACCCAGTGGCCAAACAAGTTTAGGCAAACTTTGAGGTTGATCTGTGGTAATGGTGCACTGCGGCGACCAGTGGAAAACAACACGCGTTACAAAACCCGAAAACGTCTCATTTTTCTGACCTAAAAACATGGCAGCACAATGAAATGTGGCACAGCAAGCAAAAAAAAGTATTTTTGATCTATTATTAGCCTATTATTCATTTAGGCCAATATTATGGCATTGATTGATATACAATTTTAGACAAATTTAAGCAACATTCTTAAACTTTTACTGAAGCTATAATTTGGTATATTTTAATAGTTAATTGAATTTACTGTTATGATATTTTACTAAGAATGTAAGATTGTTTTATAGAAGTAAAAATGTGCCAGCTGACAGATTTGCACAAGCTACGATACCATAAACGACCGGCAGGTCGAGCTAGATAATAGGCTACATTCAGAGACACTAGTGTGTGTTGTGTGTGTAGTGGAGGGTGTTCCCAGTCCCCAACAGCCGCTCCAAGACACTAGAGGTCTAAGGGGGAACTGCAGAAGGTTCTATCACCCTCCACCACGCTCAGTTTAAGGTCACAAAATTCTGGACTTTTGATAGTAGGCTACCAAGAATATCCACTAAACTGGAAGGGAGTACATGTTCGCATTTGGCTCCTATAAACTCTAGAATATAGCCTTCCTGATGATTGGGGCTCAGACACAGTCCCCTAATTTAACCCTTTTCACGCACAGTGGTCACCACAGTGGACAGCTATTTAAAAAGCATTTTCTTGAATTTGCAAGGGTTTTAATGGGAAAGTTGCACATCCATCTCTTCAGTGGACCCTGGTGCATCATCCTATGCATTGCAACAAAGTTGTAAGCCATTGAGTTTTGATTTTTTTTTTTTTCCCCCTCCAAACCAAAATGGCCAATGGCCAGTCAGACATGCCAAGTTGCTCCGGAATATACACCAATTCCTTTTATCCTAGGACACTCTTAGGTAAAACAATATTGCAGCATCAAGCAGTATCTAATGAGTCATATCACAGATTTTATTTTAGATTGGAAGAAAAATCTAATTAATCACTATAGTGGACCTCCTGCATCAATGGCTATATTTTAGCTACAATTCATACTTATACTGTGAATGTTATTTTTGAAAATAGGCTACTTAATCTGCAGTAGATTAAAAAGTGTTATAACCAATCCCTATCATACAACTGATTGATTTTAATATTTTTACAGAATGCCCTTACAGAAGGGAAAATCAGTTAGATCAGCTGCAAAGGTACATGGGATCAGTCTCTTGGCCCACAAAGCTTGCACTCCTGGGTTACCAGCATTTATTTGTCAGTACTATGTCTCTGATTAAGAACACACAAACATGCACACACACACAAGTTCATCAGACAGTTCCATAAAGGGAGTGAGACTGTTCTTTTATGTCAATAAACCTGTTTTTGAAGCATATCATATAGTATGGCATCCATTTTAGCTTCTTAATTGAACTTACCCCAGCACGGTATTGGGGTAGGTTGTAACAAAGGTACTGTATGTATTTGACATCAACTCACGAAGTCTGTGATATACTTGTAGGGGATTGAATTGGTGCCATTTGTAGTGAACAAATATGGGTACTTTGTATAAAAATTTGAGAACTCTAGCTATAAAATTCAGTGAGTTATAGTTACTGAAACAAAAAGTGTTACAACCATACCCGGTCTCCCTAATTACGTAATGCATTACTTCTTAGATCAAAAAAATATCTGTTTACGTGAATGTTGCTTGTAATGCATTTATTTACTCGTAACATCAAAAAGTAATCTGATTACATAATGCATGTTACTTGTAATTCATTACTTGATCAAAAAATAATCTGATAATGAAATGCGTGTTACTTGTAATAAATTGGCACACTGGAGGTAGCATCTGGGGAATCACATCTGATGGAATCGCATCCTCATGTTTTGATATCCAAGATACACAAAGTGGCAGTGCAACTTTGCTTTGATTATGAAGGTCATTTGCCTTTACAATATTTGGGATTTATATATTTTTTTCATATATTTTTCAGTTTTCACATGATTTTATGTAATTGTATTGATTACTTTGTTAAATACACATACTTTATCTGTTTGATTATGGTATTTATGTTTAGTATCTCTTCAGTTTAAACTATAAATGCATGCTGTCCACTCAAGTGGACCTCTGAAAATCTCTTTGAAAAATTTGTTTAAAAAATCAAATCTTGTTTTTCATGCCCTAAGAGCAATAAAAACACAAAGGAAAAAAATCCTGACTGAGGATATCATAATTCATCCATGAAAGGGTTAGATGAGAATGAGACATACATCTCTTTAGCCAAGCACATAGCCTAATGCACTTCATAACCTTGTAATGCACATGATTATCTTTTGTTTGAAATGTGATGAACAGCAGCAGAAGCTTCAACGCTCATTATTTTCAAATTGCTTTTCTGTCGTTACCTTGGGAGGCTCGTCTCATAAGAGACCAACTTCTTACAAAGGCTTCAGATGCATCAACAGCTGTGAAGAGACGACACCATCTCCTGCGAGGACTTCAGATGAATCAAACCCTGAGTCAACATGCACCAATGCTAAATTTTCTATAATAGACTATTGTAGTCATCATGATCACAAATTGGAATAATTGCTTTAACGATATAATTTTTCTGTTTAATGAATGATATAGCCTAAGTGCATGATTTGAAAATATTATAATTTTTACAATGTGTAAAATAAAATAAAAATGTATTAAGAATTTATATAGGTACAGAAATGAACCAAACATTATTATACGTATATTATTAAAGTTCATTAATTAAAAAATAATAATTACAGGAGATACTCAAATTAAATTATTTACTTTTGATTATGAATTAATTTACACATTTTAAAATGGGGTTGTTGTAGTAGTAATGTCTTCCCATAAGTGAACTAAATTCAAAACCTTATCTTTTCAAGTTATCTTTTAAAATTCGAAAAGTAAAACTTTTTTAGCTGTAAAGTTAAGGACCATTAGTCCATAGCCATTTTACAGTAATTATGTTTGACATTTTTTATTAAAGAGGAATAGCCCCTTGAGATGAGCCATCTCGTTTTCGAGGGGGTCCTCGATTCTAGATTCAAAAAAAAAAAAAAAAAACTGACCTTACAGCAGCTTGAATTTAAAATAGCAAAAGCCAAAAAACAAAAACAAAAAACAAATACACAAAAAAAAAATGCTATGCAGGCATGTAATTAGTTATAAAACACTAGAAATACATATGTCCCCACTTACATAAGTACAAGGCTAAAAGCAAAATAAATATGTGTGTGTTTAGGCCTATGCAACGCATTCTCACCCCAAGGCGTCACCTTTTGACCATGCTTCAATATTCGATGCTTTAGGCGCCCTTTAGAGATCCTACGTGATCCTACGCGATCCTATGGCGTCAACTAACTGACGCTAAAGGAAAAGCGTCAGTAAGACGACGCGGGTAGGTTTAGGTCTGGGGTAGCCTAGGGGTAGGGTTACGCGCGATCCTAGGGCGTCATCTAACTGACGCAAAAGGGTGCCTAAGTGTCAGATATTGAAGCATGGTCAAAATGCTCCCAAGGCGTCAGTAAGGTGACGCCTTGGGGATGAGAATGGGCTGGTTTATAGGATTGGCTATTATTACAGTCAAATTATGGAAAATATCCACACAAATAGGCCTATAGCAAAAATATGGAGAATTTTTTTTTAAGACTCATTAAATAAATGTACTGTTAAAGGTTTCAAAAAATTTGAATGTGATGTTGTAGCCGTATAATTTTCAAAAAAAAAACAACAATTCCCCATTGTGTTTTATTAAAGTGATACAAAATTGATCAGGGTTCGTTTATGTGCCCAGACAAAAACAAATTAGACATCACGCACACCTCCACAGATATTGATGTAATGCATCAATTTAACTGTTCAGAAACAGGTTATTTTAAAGCACGTACACTGCAGGTACATGGAAAAGAGGATTCAAGTAAATCATGAGGTCATGAAGAGTAATATATCTACAACAAAAGAGATAGGGAAGCAGCAGAAACACACACACAAGAGTGAGGGGATGATGAAAAGAGAGGGGGTGAGAAAAAAAAACAGGGCATACAGAAATTCTTCGGTATGTGTAACGGTCCTAAATTGTCAACAGCATGTGTGTACAGATCTATACGGGGCACGAATTACCGCCATGACGATGGGTGTTATATGCCTGTGACTAATACAAAGTGTGATAGTGTTCTGTTCCCTTAGCAACAAAGAAGTCCTGAAAAATATTGCTGTTTTATCTATCTAATCTATATGGCCAGATGGTTAAAGCTACGTTATGAAAACATGGGTGTGGGTATATAAGGTATCGGTGTGAAAGTAATATAGGTGCCTGTTTGTGCTATGATTTATTGCTGCTTTTGTATGCTTAAAGCTCATGTGTTATTTTAAACCTTTCTTCATCTTGTAATTTACATCCACAATCAAAACTAAACAACATTCAAAATCTAATTGCGTCATCCAGTATATGCCAACAGCACTACACCCACCTATATGTGTTCTTTCTCTATATCCTTCTCTCCATCCTGGTACAATTATGCAAATATTGACAGTGAATTAATAAAAGTGCTTATAGGTTTCTTCATCATTATTTTGAACCGCTCTCTGATTTTATTACAGTAATGATGGTAGAATGATTGCTATAGGGGGAAACAAACAGAGGTGGAAAGAGTACTGAAAATTTGTACTCAAGTACAAGTACAAGTAGTTGCTAAAATAATACTCGATTACAAGCAAAAGTACTGGTGTTAAAAATGTACTTAAAGGGTTAGTTCACCCAAAAATGAAAATTAAGTCATTAATTACTCACCCCCATGCTGTACCAACCCCGTAAGACCTTCGTTCGTCTTCGGAACACAAATGAAGATATTTTTGATTAAATTTGAGAGCTGTATAACTACCACATT